GATCACCCACTCAGATGAATTCTCGGACTGTCCCAACATACCCAGGTTTTGACCCCCGCTAAGGATCTCACTGATTGGCATATCAAAGACAGCCCAATCCGACACCTAGTGCAGTATCATAATCGAGTCTAGGGGTCAGGTGTAACTTTCCACTTTTGCCCATCAATCTCCAAGGTCCACGGCAATACTAAAAATCTGGTCCGGTTCAAAGATTCAATTAATCCTACACTGCATGTGCCTTGGGTCTCACCCTGGCGGCTGAGACAGGTCACCCCAACATTTGGCAGCACACCAGTGTCAGCCTTGGTAGGAGAAATCTCCCTAGACTTATCTAACGGCTGTGAACATTCTAAACTAACACGAGTCTCATAAGTGTCCAGTTTAAGGGTATTACACAGAAACACACCACAGGAACATGAATCAAATATGTACTTTATTCATTTACAATAAATTCATAATGTACATCATTCTGATTGGAGCTAAGGGCATACAACTGTCTAACAACTAGCATCCTACGCAGGCTGTGTCTATTTTTACTTCAAGTTGGGGAAGACCTTTCAGCATTGATCTTTTCATCATCACATTTAGCTTGGAATAGCTAATGTGACTTAACCACGCGTGCCCTAAGTCAGCCGTCTCGTTTTTTCTCGTCTTGTCTACATATGCAGTTTCTACAAACATATCACATAAACTGACTCTAATCTTCGTCCCTTCATTACCGGCTCTTCTATAATCTCAAGGTCGTGATAAACCTTGACATCTTGCAGACCAAATAGAACAAAATGGTCAGAAGATGTTAATTGTGATACAGAAAGCCGACTTTTTTTCATACCTGGAACGTGATAAACATTTTGAAGTGGCACCTTATTAGCACTATATTGGGGAGAGACTATCATATTACCGATGTGAGCTATCGGTAACTTCGACTTGTTGACTGTCACCACAACTCGGCTTCCCTTGTACTCTAAAATTCTGCAACTTTTCTTTATCTCCCATCATATGATTTGAGCATCCCGATTCGATGATCCAATCTTTCTCATAATTAATATGTTCAGACATAGTTGTTGTAAGAGCTAATTTCTCCTCTTTTGCTGCAAATAATGCCTCAGCATCCCATTCTTCTTCGCTTTTGGAAGTACCGCGTTACTCTCCACCGGCTTTTTCTTCGACCAACAAGCTTTCACCATGTGACCCTTCTTCCCGCAATTGTAGCACTTTCCTTCAAACTTTCTGCCGTTGCCATGATTCTTCAAAGCTTCCCCTGTACAAGCACTTCCTTTGCCTTGATGACTTTTTGCCTTGTCATCATTCTTTTAGACCCACCAAATGTGTGTTGCTTGGAGTTTCCTTTGCTTTTATTAGTGTAGAGTGTTTCCTTCTCACCCTTTAGCGAGACTCTTCCCATTTGCTTAGCTAGTGTTTCTTGTCCAACAAGCAAATTTTTGAACTCAACAAGTGATGGTTGATTTTTCCATCCCTGTACTGTAGCAACAAAGCCCCTATATTCGGGCCTCAAACCATGGATAATTATTCTTTTCATCTTGGTTTCCCCGATTGGAGCTTTCGGATCCAACTCAGAAATTTCGCGGCATAGTGACTTCACCTTGTGAAAGTACTGAGCAATCGGCATGTCGCGTTGTGCTAACGACAAAAGTTCGCTCTCTAAAAGTTGAAGCCTTGTGTCGTTCTTCTGTTTTAGCACATCTTCTTCGACCGTAGTCTTTAAAGCGAACATTGCCTTGCCCGTTTTTATCTTTTACTTCCGTAATATACCATTTGCATCCTCTGCCTCCGGTTGCGTAACTTCGCTTCCGTTGACAACCTCCCACAAATGTTGGCCTTGCATGTAAGACATCATACATGTAGACCAAATATGATGCCCACGACCAACCTGGCTCTGATACCAGATTGTAGAAATCTAAAAAGCAAAACAAAGGAAAGTAACTAGAGAGGAGAAATTTGCACTCACGAATGATCTCACAAAACAGAAGAAAAAGCACACAGAGTAGAGTGAATAGCAACCAAGCTATTATTAATTTGAAAATTGGGTGCAGTAATCGGTGAACTACTTTGCCTCATACAAAGGAAGATCACGTTGCTAGTAACTCAACTAATTCCTAAAGAA